GTCGTGCTATCTTAGCTCCTCATCATGACATGGTTTCTGCAATAACAATTATGTCCTTGAGCAATTCCCTGGTGAAGTTATGTCATACTTTAGTTCTGATTCTATTGATATGGATCCTGGAAACCAAAATGTGATTGATCTGATTACTCGACTGAATTTTGAACTCATTGAAGATTGGGAACTTTCCTAATCATGAGTTGAAACTTAAGTTGGGGTGTCCGGTTATTCTATTAAGAAACCTGGATCAAAGTCGTGGATTATGTAATGGAACTAGACTAAACTGTGAAGACATTGGGGATGTGGTGCATCGAATTGGAGATTATTTCAGGATCGCATGCTGGTGACAGGGTTTTTTTTTTTGCCTAGAATGACTTTGACCCATCACTATAAAAGTTTGAATTTCACATTGGAACGCAGACAATATCCCATTTCATTGTGCTTTGCAATGACAATAAATAAAGCCAGGGTCAAACATACAACATGTGGGTTTGTGTCTCAGAAGCAAGTTTTCTCCCATGGTCAGTTATATGTTGCATTGTCTCGGTTACAACGAAGCATGGAATCAAGATTTTGAGCTGTGATGCTGATGGTACTGAGTTGAAAAGTATGCAGAACATTGTGTATCGAGAAATTTTTGACTGATTTTAGGACCATTATTTGCTTTCCAATATTTTTGTATAGAACACTTATTTAGATGGTACTGATAGCACTTGATATTAGCTTGATATTGGTTGCTCATTGATTTCGAAAATTGATGCTCATTAGAAATCAATATTTAAAGACCACAATTGATGGTTTATCTGATTGGTTTGTGGACTTCATAGTTCCTTCTTCACGCAAAATCTCGGTCCCATGGGCATATCTACTATATGCTTTTCTTGCTGGCTACATTGCTAGACTTATGGGTTTAAGATTCCCTACGAGATCCTCTCTCTCACTTTGGGAAGCTATTCTGAAAGCTCTAAATAACATCACTGGTTTTGTCCTTGAAACATATCTTTCTTTTTTTATAACAACACCCTTTCTATGGCATGTCTTGAGTGCTACTGTACCATTTATAAACTATTTGACCTGTAGATTTGGTGTTCAGTTGAACCGAATTACTTTGCTTTTTTAATTGTGGTTTACATGCTTCACTTGAGTCTAATGGGAGGTCACCATTGGCACATCTCGATGAACTGACTCTTTGCAAAGCTGGCCGTCCACCACCAACTGAAATACGGATGATGGTATAGTCAGAAATGGGTGGAAATCTTTGAAAAGCAATTTCAGTGAGCTGGAGAAAAGTCCTAGGTTGTATTTCTTGATGTCTAAGTTAGAAATTAAAATTTTGTAGTTATGTTCATATCTACGTGGAGCCCCATGTTATCTAAAGTTTAGATGTAAGAAAAAATTGAAAAGAATGCTTCTTTAAGCTAAATATCAAGTTCTGGATCGAGGTCAAACAAACATAGGCTCGGTAAGGATTTATACAACAGAGAAGCCCTAGAAATAGCTAGAGACATGTTTATTTCCCTAAGCAATGAAAGTCATTTAGAAGTTGACTGCTTATAAATTTAGATTTATAATTTGGATGCTTTTTCTAATTTATCTAAATTTGGCAGGTGGTTTATTGCTGAAATAATATTTTAATTCAACGTGGTTTCAGTCATTGAATATAACTCCAAAGATCATGCCCCTCAACTCCACTACTACCGAAAATGAAGAAGGAGATTGACAGTTATTTTCTTATTCCTCCTGCTTTCTTTTGTTGCTATTTGTTTTATCATCTCCACCTATAAATACATTCCGGAGGAATAAGTATTTGCTCATTTACCATCTTATTCACAACAACAATCCAAAAAGGCCGTTAACAGATCAAGGCTTATTAACATGGCTGTTCGTGCATTGGCTGACTTAGACGTTCAAGATGTGGACTGTACAGTCCATGTTCGTGTTCTGCGGAAGTGGAATATCAAGCAGAGGGGGAGTGATCAGATTGGTTTTGTGAACATGATTGTTACTGATGCTCAAGTACGTATTGCATCTCTTTTCTATATTTGTTTTCCTTCCTCTTATGATGCCTGTGCTAATGCGTTTGGGTTTATACGTGCAGGGCTCTGAAATGGAAGTGGTCATCCATAAGATTGTAATTCCAAAATTTGCACCATCAATTCGGGAAGGAGCCATCTACAAGCTGGGTCAGTTCTTGGTGCCAAGGAACACAACTGCATTTCGAGTCACTGCACCGCAGTTTCGAATCGTACTCCTCCCTGACTCGGTTTGTGAAGAAATGGAGGATTCTGCTGCCATCCCAAAGTTCTGTTTTCGGTTTCTTAAGACAGGAGATTTGAAGGAGGCATTCGAGCACCAGGACTACTTATCTGGTCCCAATTTTTTTTTACTTGACCTTATCATATTACAAGTTGATTCTCTATTTTTGATTTCATTACTAGGTTATTTCTGTGTGCTGCAGATTTAGTTGGTGAACTGGTGCAATGCGATGCTACACAAGTTATAAGTGATAACATGGTTTCAATAAAAAAAAAGGATGTCCAAATTCGCTTAATTGAGTGAGTTTTGGAATGGTTTCATTTTATAGCTACTATCTTGGCTGTTCTATTCTAGAAAGATATTTATTTTTTTAATCTGTTCTGTTGCAGCAGTGATGAAGTTGTGAAGGTCATTCTTTGGGACTCACTGGTCGACCAGCTTGACAATGTTCTCACTACTGAAGCTGAAACTGGAGCAGTGGTCATATTCACCTCTGTTTATGTCCATAAATACCATGGTTAGTTACTTTCCACTCCACTGATGAATGAGGTAAACTCCTTTCTCATTTTTCAAATAGTACATGTTCTTCAAAATTTCTTTCCATTGCAGGTGAGTACTACTTTTCCACCTCCTGTGCTTCCAATTTGTATTGGAATCTTCACTATCCAAGAGCTCATTCTATGCTTGATTTGTACGACTCTGATCCTTTTATGATTGGTCATTCTTTAACCTGATCTGAGTTTTAATAAGATTTAATTGAATTTCATATTCAAATAATTTTGCAGCAGCAGCAGTGGTATTCCTCGCAAAGATGGAGAAATTTGCCAGAGTTTTATTGTCCCAGCTTCTGTTGGGTTACTGGAAGCTTTGAACGTTGGTGGTCCAATTAAGGTCTTACAAAAAACCTGTTTTGTCTTAGTTCCTTTCCTCAAATGAAGTTTGATTTTGAGATTTCAAGGCACGTTATAATCTGCCTCACTTTATTTATTCGTCAATTTTAGGGCCTGACCTACAACATAGCAACAGAGGTAACTGAAGTGAATGCATTTTGGTCTGACCGCCAGAATTCCTTTATCACTGAACTGCTGGTGAAAGACGACAATGATTGCTGTGCTTTTCTTTTCAAAAGCAATGGATTTAGGTCGATCTCAGATTCTATTTTTGGGACAGAACATCAGTTTCAGAGGTCAAGCTTCGACGTCAACTTGAAGTCATTGAAAGGGAAGACATTCCCGTTCCTGGTGAAACCTGTGGAACACTTTTATAGACCTGGAGCACTTGACTTAGTGGTTCTTAAAATCATGAGTGGCTAAAAGAGTAGCAAGGAACGAATTGCCAGTCTCATTGTAAATATTTTGCATTTTAGGGATTTTTTGCGCATTCTGATGTTTTTTTAAGCATAGGTTGTTTATCATTGAAACTGTTCTTCAGTTTAGTCATTTGGAGTTCCCATAGTAGGTTTAGCTTTGAATCAATTTTAGAGTCGGATTGGTAATAGTTTGTCGTCATTGTCTTCCTTTGCTTTAATGAGAAGTGGAGTTTTAGATTGTTCACGTTTTGTTAGTATGTTCTAAGCTTGGATTGAAGTCTCTTCCTCAATGGGCTTTATTGAAACTCAATCAATTTGATTTCTTGAAATGGGCCCTAGATGTTAGAGTTATGTATGGAGTAAGGAAGAGTTCTGTTGAACCGAGTGAAATTCAGGCCCAATGGCTGGAACGTCACCAGCTTGCATCATTTTTTCCAATTGAAAGAGAGTAGCTTGAATTTCAGTTAATTTTGATGGATACAGGAGAATTATGAAACTGAAATAATTAATTATTAGGCAGGATGAACTTGATCGTTCAATGATCCAAGAATTGATCGACTTTTGCAACCCTGATAAAAGAGAAAGAATGGTCCATTTTTACCAGGTCAAGTATTATGTTTAATTTGGGCTAAATTGAGCCCATCCAAATGTGTAAGCCCGAATTGATTTCTGTCAATTTTTTATTTTATTTGCAGCAACCTTCTCTTTCTCCTTTGAAGCTGATCGACCAAGCCTTAGGGATTCTGTAGAGGTGGCGCTGCGGCGGAATATTGAAGAGAGAGAGAGAGAGAGAGAGAGAGAGAGAGAGAGAAAGGGGTGGGAGAGGGAGATTTATCGGCGGTTAAGCATCCCGAAGTGTGTGTTATGGTTAGCGGTAGCTGATGTTGCCAGAGCGAGTCAGAGGCAGAGAGATTTTCTTCTCTGCGGGGCTTGGGAGAGAGATAGTGGGCTGTTTGGATTTCAGCTTGAGAGTGGGAAAAAGGTCGGAGGTATGGTGAGCTGCGATGAGCATAGAAGGCGACAGAAGGGATTCGAAGTTGGAAGGCGATAAAGGAATGCAACGGCTGCAGGAGCTATCGCCGACGACGCCTATCCATCAAGCTCACCTCTCCTTCAAATTCGATTGTGTGAGATTGAAGAGGTGATTTGTCGGGATTTGAAAGGCCTTATTTTCAAGGGTAGTCTGGGACATTTATCGGAGTATTTTCCAAGGGAGGCTATGCATCAACTGCCGCCATTGCCTAAGAGTATTCAAGTGCGTTTGTTGACGGTTATCTCCGCCTTCCAAGGAAACACGATCTGATTAACTGCCTTGGTTCCAATATTTGCGTGTTGAGGAACATGGGTTTGGCGGTTACCGCTCCGACTAGGCTATAAATTGTGAGTTTGAGGACTGCATATTGTTTCCGACTTACAACAATAGAAGTCACAGAGAAAAATGGCGCCGCAGCTGTTGAAGGATTTAGCCACCCATTCCCGCAAGTGGATTATTCAATGTCGGGTGGCTCGGAAGTGGATTGCAACTAACTGCAACACAGGAAAGGTTCTGCATATGGACATGGTGTTGCTCGATTCTAAGGTAACCTTCTATCTCCATTTAGAAACAAAATCTTTGGTTTGAGAAGGTCTGAATCATAATCCGATCTGTTTATACTTATCAGGGGTCGGATATTTGGGCCATGGTTCCTCCTCTCTTGATTTCAAAATTTGAATCGAGTCTGAAGGAGCAAGAAGTGTATGAGATTAGGCATTTTAAGGTTGCTTTGACGAAGAACTCATTCAGGCCAGTCCCCAACCGTTTGATGATTGAATTTGACTCAGCCACCTTAGTCCAGCATGTTCAATCGGTTCCAAAGATACCACTCCACAAGTTCTACTTTCTGAAACAAGCTGATATGATGCAGAAGTTGTATGATAAGAAGAATCTTTCAGGTGGGGTGTTGTGTCTTTCTATGTTCATGGGAAATCAGGGAACGTTTTAACTAAAAATCTCCTTCTTGCTGCAGATGTGATTGGTCAATTGATTGACCATTCATCAATAACCTCAAAAACCTCGGCTACAAAACGCTGGAAAGAGATCACAATAAAACTGATTGAGTTTGACTCTTTAAGCCTCGAATTTTATTTTCAATTCAATTTGTTTGTCAACCATGTCCCTGACTTTTGACTTTTTTTTTACACTGGACAAACTTATACCAGAGGGGATTTGGTCAAAGTCACTTTATGGGGAAGTATCGGCAATCAATTGGAAGACATACTCTCTCGCAATGAAGAGGAAGCTATCATCCTGAGCATCACTTCTGTGTTTGTGGACGAATTTAAAGGTTCTGGACACTCAATCTTGCTTTATTATCTTTGTTTGCAAGAGTTAAATTGGAAACTAACTTCATTTTTTTTTCTTCTATAAGGGGATCTTTGTTTGTCATCAACATGAGCTACACAGCTAAACAGCAATCTGGATATTCTAGAAGTGCATGCCTTTAATGCTGGGTATGTGGTTTTATGTCAGTACTCAGTTAATTCTGATACTCCTTAGAACAATAACTCGAATTTCCTCTGTTCCTGTTCCTATATTAAGAACGCTTCCTTGATACATAGTGACATTTGCAGCCTCCATTTTGAATCATTGTTAGATTGTTTTATTTGTATACCATTTCAGTTTTGTTAATGCTGCTGGTGTTGGATTTAAGTTCAAGAAATGATGATTCCTTATAAATGCAATAACTTCAATTCCTGTAGAATTATAATGCTTTTTCCTTTAAATGGTTGACTTGATCTGTTTCACAAAGGTTTCCCTTAATTTGCTCTTAGAGCTTTATGTGTGATAACTCTCTTTCATCATTTTGTATCATATTCTTTCTCATGTTGCACCTACACTGTGAGCAGTGCATTTTGTGGTTCTCAAAATCATTACTTCTAATGGGTAAGAGAAAATCAAGGCTTTCAATGGTTATTCAGACTGTAAATAGTCTTAGTGGAAGTGTTTTGCTGATAATTTCCTGCTTAATGTTAAGGACAATCGGGGTTCAAATTCTAAGCAGTTTGATTTTCTGAAATTTGTTTAAATGATTATGCTTTATGTTACAACTGGGTTTCTATTATGAATCAGTTCTTCATTTTCATCTACTCTCTGTATTGCTTTAACTGTAAAATTCCAACTACTTTCTGTACTGCTTTAACTATAAAATGAACAAACAGTTAAGACATTTTCCTTTTTAGTTTGGTAAAAAGACTCAAGGGTATCTGACCAAGACCTGTTAAGCGATGTCCTGCTGTTATACATTTCTAATGATGTATGCTATAAACAACTACAGCACTTACATGTATGAAACCAAACTAAGTTGCTGCTAAAATGCTTTAACTTCTATACATATGCATTATCAGTTTTAAATTTACGCCCCATTCTTCAATTGAGAGTAATATGTTAAGTTGTTGCTTGCCAAGAACTGAATTAGCATTATTGAGTGCAGGGGGTTGTTCGTGGGAGCTGTTTACAGATGCTTAATTGACTTTCATTGTGTTTTTAAATAAGAATAATAGTTTAAGACCATTTTCGATGCATTCTAGGGATAAAAGCTTGAAATACATCTGTTTATGCGTTTGACACAACTACTTCTGTTTTGCTGGCTTCCTTTTTTTGTTATTTCCTTTCTTTCAATTTGTGTCTGGTGGTAAAAAGTTGTTGGCTGAACCTCATTATGAAACTAACTTTTGGTTGAACTTTAGGGAAACAACTCTCACAGCACCTGTTTTGATTGCTGAAGTCCCTCCTGTTGAGATCCCAAAGATTTCAATTGCTCAGTTGAATGATTTCAAAACCATGGAGGAACACACTGTAAGTGTTTTGCCTGTTTACCTGCCAGCCTTATAACCTGTCCAATTTTCCTAATATCAATTTTTACTGAATTTCAGGACAAATTGTTTGCGATTGAAGGGAAAGTGATTCAAGTACACCCTAATTGGTGTTACATGGGATGCGCTGTATGTCCACGCAAGGTGGAAGAGGATCTGGAAGAGTACTTTTGTGGACACTGTAAGACCACATCTTCCATTGCTAAGGCCAAGTAAGTGAACAATCTGAATCTTGCTTTCTGTGTTATATGCAAAGGTAGGATGTTAATTGATGATATGGAGGAGACAAACTGATTAAGGAGTTGGCTACATTTTATTTCTTTTGCCTAGATTTAGAGTGAAGCTCCAAGTGCAAGATGATACTGGAGAAGCTGATTTTGCAATTTTAGAGCATGAAGGTGTGCGATTTTTTGGAGTGATGGCTGATGTCTTATTCCAGTCAAATCAGCGACAAAAAGAACCCATTCCATTGCATATCCAACAGGTTCTTAACATGACACTGAAGCTTCATGTTCGCCTCACTCAGTTCAATTTCTCGAATCCTCAAGCTGAGTATTCTGTGGCTAGCGTTGATCATGACCCTCTTCAGGTAATTGATTATGCAAAAAATGCAGTTTACCTAAAGGATAGCAGCTAATTTTTTTGGTTTACGGCTTCTGATTCCCTCTAATTTGGTTGCAGCAAGTGACTAAGATACCTGATCCTGTGAGCGTTGGAGGATCAACCTCTTGCGGGTTGAAAAGGAAGCATGATGATGATGCTGACCCTGTGGAAGAATAGTATTGCTGGAGATTTTGTGACCTCAAAAGTCACAACTTGCAGATTCTACTTAGTATTCTGTTTTAATCTATGGGACATATTGTGTTCTGTTTTCATTTAGTTTGAGACTCTGCTTCTATGTTCATCTCTTATGGATTGTTTCTTTTCATTATTTTCAATTGTGAAATACAGTAATGTTGTTTGGTTGCACCCTTTTCTCAGTAGTTTAGTAGTTTATTCACTTATGACATGTGGTCTTTTCCTTCTTCAACTTTAATTGAATCTTGGAAAATCAATTGCATGTTTAATGGCCTATGAATATAGCTTTCTATGCTATGACTGATAAGTGTATTAAGAGCTTTGCTGCAATTTTTTCATGTTGTTGTGTTTATTATTATCCAAAGACATTAGGTGTTTGATGTTGGAAATGGTATGGATTTGTTCTGTTGACTTCATTTGATGTTGAAAATGGTATGGATTTGTACTGTTGATGAAGTCAAGTCTGTGTATAACTTTAATCAGCAATTATTTGATTGTCCTTTCTCAATAATGTTGCAATGTTTTGTCATATTCATTCACAGAGTGTGTTTCACTATTGGTTTCGTGGACTTAAGTTGCTATATTTACTTTCATGCCCTTCAACATGATGTATTATGGAGATTAATCATCTGGATTATGAACGTGGCTTCTTGATAAGAAAAAACTTCATTTATAAATTACAATTTCTTGAATCTAATTGATGGAGTGTTTTATGCATTACCCGGCCAACGGGCCGGGCCCGATGCTAGTTAGGTGTAATCTCTGCGAGACACAAATCGTTCTATCGTGTTTATCTTTACCACTTCTTCTATTTCTCTCAAACACCCAACCCTCTTTTTCCTTTCGACGATCGCGCTCCTCACCGCTCCTCAACCGCGTTGTCGCTCCGGTCTCTCTTTCAGTAATACCACCTGCGTCGCTGCAATTCCCCTGCTGCAGGTTGCTCCTATGAGTCTCCGACGTAGGTATTTCATCTCTTCTCATTCTTAGTTCTCATATTTACAGTTTTAATCTCGATTTTGGTAGTTTTCTGTTCCTCGGTCTCATAATTTCTAATTCTTGAAGGATTCGGGTTCTGTTTCTCGTCTACTTAGAGATCTCCCAATCGGATAGGGGAAATACGATATTTGATTATCTAGGGTTTGGATTTTTGTGTTCTTATCGCACTGTTAAGTGAATCTCTCATAAGCTTCTGTAACACTCAGGTCGGATGAAGGATCGATTCCTGCGATTGATGTGTAGGATTGCTTGAACGGAGAGAGGAATTGCAGGATTAGAAGAGAAAGGGGAATGATTAAGAAAGAATAGAGTAGGAGAAGAGAAGCCGAAGAGGAAGATCAGAAGCAGAGGAAGGGAAGAAGTAGGGAAACAGTTCTGGTAAATTCTTATTCGATAACCAGTTCAGTACACAGCTTACCTATTTATATGACTTGCTCAATTACAAAGCAATCCCCAAACTTATACATTTTACCATTCACTCCTAATCTTTACAATCCCGACCCCTTGAAAACAGCCTTGTCCTCAAGGCTAGAGAACAAAAGGAGACAACATAAACCAAAGCAATGCGAACAGCAAGTAACCGAGCTGAAAAACTATTATAGAAGACAGGTTGCCAGCTGTGGCAGAAGAAAACATCGACGGTAGACTGGAGTTGCGCCATCTTGTAGCTCAAAGAAGTGACAATGAGCACCCAGCAGAATGGACTCTACACCACTGCTTTACCAATATAGTAGTTATTCATCTCTTACAACAAGCACCATTACCGTCGAACTCCTCAAGAATGGAAACCACAAGCAAATGCAGCTTATGCAACCCAGGAGAATTAACAAAAGTGCAGCAGTACACCACACCACCAAGCTCCTAAGCATCACCACAATCATCTCCAGTCCCTTACAGCCCTTGAACCGCCAAGTACCCGTAAGTGCAGTACCACAAAGTTCCACCCCGACAACAGTTAGAACTACAACCAACCAGCACTCTTTATAAGGCTCCTTAAAGTTGGGAGTTGGACCCCTGCCATGACCTTGAACACCAACAATATCATAGCAAAAATGCACTCCACACAATGCATATGCAGCACCAACAATCGACGTAGGTTCATGATAGCAATTAAATTTCCAGCCATGTTGAAAATCCGGATCAAACAGCTCCATGCCAACACTGACCCCTGGAGCATCATCTTTATATGGTTCTTTGATATCAGGACTACTACCCCTGCCACCAGAAATTACCCAAACACCATAATAAGTGGGATAAATCCGATACTCATAATTCCAGCTGCCATGCTTTAGTTTTTCCCTGCAACCCACTGATTCAGGCACGAAACCATACCCCTTATTGGAGTTGCAGTAGTTCACCACGACATCCAGAGCCCTAAAATCAACATCACTTGGACAAAAATGAAATCAATGGTTTGCCCAGCAATAGCCTTAACATTGGCAGCCAAATGAGAGATTGACTGCATAGTGAAACTGCCATTTATATTCAGTAACTTGAACTCTGGTTTCTGAACCACATCTGTAGCTAATATATGAGCTTTTGCCATCAGTACCTCACCTTCAGCCTTGAGTTCGTTTTTTGCCAAGTTCGACCTTTTCAGGTTCGATTCTGATTCCATGCTACTGGGAGACGCTTCAGTTGTTATGTCAATTCCCATTGTGTCCAAGACTGCAAGGTACGGAGTTGTGTCCTTATGCTCATCATACTCATCGTCTTTCCCCATTTTTGTTACAGCTAAACAATCACCAAAAACATCTTCACTTGTCATACCCGATGCTGCTTTATCAAGAGTATTCAAAGCCTGTTCTCTCGTGCTAACAGGGGAAGTCAATACATCTCCATCTACACTCCTCATATGATTCTTCCTGCTGCTGGCCTCAATGGCAACTTCCTCCGACCGAGCTTGCTGATAAGCTTCAGCTAATGTGTGGGGCTGCAGCATTTGAACCACGCTCAATACTTCTTCCAGCCCGCTAATAAACCTCGAAATGAAATACTCTTCATCTAGGATACAAGTATATCTAACCAGCCGAGATCGTAGTTCTTCAAACTTTTCTTGGTATTCCAACAATGAACCTCTTTGCCTCAACTTGTTGAATTCAGCCAGTGTTCCACTAAATGATCCATAAGCAAAACGTTTGCATAGGGCGGCTACAAACCAGCTCCTTATGGCCATATCTCCACCCCACAAACCAGGTTTCTGGCCCGTGTTCAAAGTACCTTGCCGCCAGCAAAACTCGATGTGCATTCCGAGGGCTATACTTCTCGAACACCCTTTCACACTTACTAACCCATTCCCGTGGATTATTACCCGAGAAGAAAGGAATACCTGAGACGAATTTCGGTGCGACATTTTGTCGAACAGGTGGAGGAAGGCTTTCTGGGATCTTCAATGCGTCACCATCAGCTGGAAATTCTCCATGGCAGACTGAGAAATAACCCTCCGGCTGACCTGCTCCACGTACAGCTGATTCCCGGCCATCGTCCTGATTCCCCAACTGACCTTCTAAGCCGTCAACCAACCTAGAGGACCATGGCCGCCTCAATCCAGCCAATGTTGACTGGGCAAGATTTCCCGTCACAATGCTCGTGGGCGAGGGAGACAGAAACGCAGCAGAGTCCAGCCGAATTTCCACTTCGGGTAGCATCGCCATGATTTCCAAGCGCGAGCTGGGAATCTTTTCGAAATTGGCTTGCAGTGGCGCGATGGAAGAAGAGAGCGTCGTCGCCGACGGTGCCGGAGAATGGCTCTGATACCACGTTGTAACACTCAGGTCGGATGAAGGATCGATTCCGGCGATTGATGTGTAGGATTGCTTGAACGGAGAGAGGAATTGCAGGATTAGAAGAGAAAGGGGAATGATTAAGAAAGAATAGAGTAGGAGAAGAGAAGCCGAAGAGGAAGATCAGAAGCAGAGGAAGGGAAGAAGTAGGGAAACAGTTCTGGTAAATTCTTATTCGATAACCAGTTCAGTACACAGCTTACCTATTTATATGACTTGCTCAACTACAAAGCAGTCCCCAAACTTATACATTTTACCATTCACTCCTAATCGTTACAGCTTCTAATCATTACTTATTGTAGAACTTTCCGATTTACTTCATCTTAATGGACTTGCCGATCTGCTTCATTCTTTTGGTTTGCTACTCTCATCTCCATTTCATGATTTACTATGTGGTCAATTTGGTACTTCTACGAGAGAAGGAGAATGAAGTGGGAATTTCAAGTTCTCATTAATTAATTTCACAAGATCTTGTCATATTGGTCTTGGTCTGTCAAGCTCTTCTGATGAACTTTAGTAATTTGAACTTTATGGCTTCTGGTTTCTCTCATTGCTGTCAAGTGGTCAAAAGTTATGTACATGACCTATGCTTAATTAGGTTGTCTTTTGAGTGTTAAAGATCGATATGGTTGGAATTCTCCTTCCAGTTTTAGAAAGAACGGTTGATTTTTGGTATTTGGTTTATGGTGATGGTGGGACGTTTTTTCAGTAAAGAAAGGATATATTTTGGTGGGTAGTGGCAAATTATTTGTAGAGAAACATGTGGGGCTTGCTCATATGAAAAAAATGAGGCTTATGATAAGGGCATAAGAATTAGGGAGAACTATGAGAGTAAAGCTCTCTTTTTATTGGTTTCTATTTTTTGATGTCCCACACGTACAGATACATCAATATGAATATACATATATATAGAGATTGATTGAGCCTTCTGTATCCTCCTAACCTAGTTGATAAAACCGCCTTAGACTTTTCTTTTTGTTCTTCCAAGTCAAGGTGCATTGCATCACGTTGTTCATACTTTTCATAAATTCTTAATTCTCACGTAAGCAGCTTCTTGAAACTTCTTCACCGACTTGGTTAAGTCAATTCACAGTTGCCAACTTAGCCTCAGAGAATGCATCATCTCCATTTTCTTGATGGTCTGTATCTTGTAGGTTACTTAGGGCAGAGATGTTAGTTTAAACCAGATTGCTCTGTTTGAAGGAAAAGGTTGCTGGTGAAATTGGAGAGCAAGTCTGAGTAGGGATGTCTATAGGCTCAGACAATTATTTGACTTCTTCAGAATGTTGTCCTTCTACATCTCATCAGTTGGTATTAATATTTGTACAATGGTATTAATTCTAAGTTGTCTTTAATTTCTCGTTGTGTTTCACTATCCCATTTCAAGTGTTCACAGTTTTCTAATATCATATGCTTTTTTCCTGGCAGATGACTGTTTTGACGATATACATATTCTTGTATGGGAGGCAAGGATTTTAGGGAACAAAGGTATGGATGCAGTGTTTAATACCCAGTTCGTTGTCCAGATTGGAGATTTTACTGCAGTGCCTATGATAATGGGCTTCATTCTTGAATTGGAGTTGCTGCAGGTTGGTCAACAGTAATTCATTGTATTTATAATTCAAGATTTGCTTCTATTTTCTTCCTTTTTCCTGAGCAACCCCTGCACACAGTTGAATTTACTTTCATGTTGTACTCTGATTATGATCCTTTTTACTTTGCTACATGCATATGTTTAGCTTTGAACTTGATGTTGTTATGTTACTGAAGGATGTCATGTAATTGCAGGCTGTTTTCAGCTTCATCACCATGCAGTTGCTTTCATGTATTACTACAGGTGTTCCCCCTTGAGTTTTGAATGCATTTTTCTTTCATTCCCTGTTCGTCATTTTCCTTCTGTAGCATGAGGACCTCTGTATGGAGACGCTTTTGGGGTTCAGCAACAACTACCAAACTATGAGGTAACTTTATAGTCTGGCTATGCTACTCTTGACAGGATAACAGTTGATGTTATGGTATTTATCCTGAAATTATGTTTGGGTTGACTTACTGCTATTTCTCAAATCATATTTAGCAGGAGCCAGCTGATAAGAGTAGGTTTATATATTAATCATACTTAGCAGGAGCTCGTTGACTTACTGGTATTTGGATTTGGCTACAGCTATGCGATTGGAAGTGGTATTACCCAAGATAAGGAAGCTTCTAAAAGGGTGAGCTTTTTGTTTCAATATCTTACGAGGAGGTTTTATTGTAATGGATTGTGCCTCAAATTCATTAGTCAATGGATTGAGGTTTATCAATTTACAAGTCAACGAGTTAAAAGATTAGGAAGCAGAGGTTTATCAATTCATGAGTCAATGGATTGAGGTATTTTCTTTTCTGGATAACTAAGTTTTGCTTGCTTCTGACATTAGAACAAATCTAACTTGGAACTATAGAAACTTTATGGACCTAATCCTATGGTGTTTATGTTTATTTGAACAGAGTAAATTAATTGCTGATCATATGCTAATTTGTTATGTATTTTTGACAGTGAATGTGTGATTCATTGTGATTGGTTGAGCTGTCAACTATTTTAGCCATGGGGTATAATGCCACCAGCTGTGACCCTAAACATACTCTACTGCTCCTCATACTTGCATCTATATCTATAGCCTTCTGACCAGGAAACTACTTAGCTTCAGGTTTTCCTTTTTAGCTTTTTCTGTTGTCTTTCTTCTCCTCTCTCTCTTTTCTCCCTCAATCACTCCGATGACTCTTTCTACTCTCTCTCTCTCTCTCTCTCTCTCTCTCTCTCTATATATATCTCCATAACTCTCTCTATCTGATTCATTTGAGCTGTTAGGTTGTCATTAATGCAGGCTTAAATTGGTACACATCAAGAATTGTAACTGAAAAATATCAAAATGCTTGGAGTTGTAAGTTACTGAATTCATTTCACCCTTTTTTCTCTTATTCTGATGTGGCATAATAAAAAGGGCGAGACATAATAGTTTTTTCTTACCTTGCACATAAAAGTTGTCTTAAATTGTTGAACTGTGAATGTTTGTTACTTTTTTAACTCAATTTTGGTGCTGGTCAAGATAAAGATACTGCGAATGTGAATGTTTGTTATTTTTTTTTAACTCAATTTTGGTGCTGGTCAAGATCAAGCTACTGCGAATGCTTTGCTGCTGCATGGATTTATGTTTATTAGCTAGAACTTGGTTTGAATGAGTTGTTTCTGGCTTTCTGCAGGACTTGAAGGTTTAGTGGTACTGGACTTGAAGGAATATTTGATTAATTTTTATATTGTTGATTTGGTGGTACAATTCAAAGATTGTTGATTTGGTAATTCAAAGTGGTACCATTTAAAAAATGAGATTGGCTTTCTTAATTAGCTGGATTTGTCAAATGTTGATGTCAAGGAAATTCACAGCAGGTTAGAGCAGGTGGCTCTCCAAAAATTGGCTGCTTATTTGGGACGGTCAGCAGCCTTTAGCGACGGTCGGAACGGTTGCTAAATAAGTAATCCTATTTTCAAAATGTTCTTTTAACGACGATTGGCATGGTTATTGGCGTCGCTAAATCTGCCGATGGTTAGTGCGATGGTCGACTAAAACCGTCGCCAAAAAATTTAAGGACAGCGGGGTGAACGACATTTTTGGGTGGCCATCGGTAAATATTTTACTGACTGTTCTGACTGTCACTAAATGTCCCGAAAACCGTCTAAAACACTGCTTTCTTGTAGTGAGATACCAAGAAAACTTGTGTGCTAAATTATGCACTTTAATCGTATTATTATAGGAACTCAATTAAAAAATATTCCTTTTATGCGAATATTTTTATTGCCAAGAAGAATAACAATGAAATTATGTTTATTGTTTCTGATTTTTGGGTCATTACCTCATCGAATGGATCCAATTCAAAATCCATTTATTTTATTAGTATGCAATACCATTCGAATACGAAATATCATAATAGTAATATCAGAAGACTAATAGAAATAGAATCACTTTTTGTTTTGTTTTGTGATTCTACCCAAAACCTCATAAGTCTAAGTTAACTTGAATCAGTTGCGGATTCCAATTTGAGTAGAAAATTATCTTTATTCCTCTACTCATACATTCCGTATCCATATATTACTATAAGAAAATATATCTTCAGTCACGCGAGTTATTTGTTACGAGTGTACTCCCATGACTAAAAATAAATTATGTATCACAGTTAGTTATTCCTGTGACCAGTAGCTATTGAACAATAACATGAGAGCTTCTCGTGATTATCTCTTTTCCACGTATTTAAGACAGTTAGCACGGTGATAACTCACCTTACCACCATAGAAATTAATTAGGCCCAATCCACTCGATGCCTGCCGCTGAGGGTGTTTTGGGGAAATAAACATTGTAGCTAACGTCATTACACAATCTTAGGTATGGGATCTGCGGAATTTGTGGCTGGAATCCCAATAGTCCATTTCCTTTTATATTTCTTCCCCTTTCTCTTTCATCACATGAGCAGTTGAGCACCCCCAATCGGCAGAACAATCTCTGTTTTCTCTATCTTTGTAACTGCCGTCTGCGTCGCCGGAGTCAGGCTCGTCGGATTTTTTTGTTGCAATTAGGTTCCCTCTCCTTCGGCGACCTCGCTTCCATAGCCTTCCCCGTCTTCACATAACTCGCCTACTTCTGGATCTTACGTCGTCGCCGCCTGTATCGGAGTTCCCTTCTCATGCACTGATTTCATCGTCGCCGCGCTCGTCTTAGTCCTCCCTAAATCTTGTAAGTTTTGTCACCGCAGTCGGATATTTAAGAGTAGGTGCCCTTTTATGGCTTATTGAACTCACAAGTTGCTCACTGGCGCAGGTGCATGCCGTTTCCAGCAAATTTCTTTTGGGTTTGCGAAAGTGAGGTCCTTTTTAGTCGATTCTTGTATTATGCCATCCCACTCTGAAGGCCTAGGATGGGTCAGGATAGTTAGGTGTTGTTATACTGTTAGTGTTGTTAATATACTCATATAATTAATAAAATTAAAATTAAATTAAGATTTCCCAATTTCTATCACTCCCGATCTTCTCCTCCCGGCTCGCGCGTTCTTGATACCTCCTCCCCCACAGCGGAGGGCTTCTCCGGCGGCGGTGGACTGGATGCGGTGCCTCGAGTTGGCGAGGACTTCGACGCAGTTTTTCGCGGCGGTAGCGCGGTTGATGTTGGAGGAGGAGGATCCCATAATCGACTTCACCATCGACTGCGCGATCGAGAGATTGGAAGAGGAAATTGAAATCGCCGATTGAATTAGGTCGATTGGAGTAGGGGATTCTGGAGAGACACGGCGGAATTGCCCAGGGAAGACCGACAGACGTCTGGGAACCGGGTGGGCGTCTCCGCCGCCGTAGCTGCTCTCGTCTCCGTGTATTTCTCCGACCCGCCTCCGTCTCTCGCGCGAGTCCCTCACGGTGGCTTCCCCAGTCTCCCGCGCTCGTGAGGTGATCTGTTCCTCCTTTTGTCTTTTAATTCGGTTGCCTTTTCGAATCATGACTCAAATGGGACGGTGGATCTCGAGGAGTTCAAGGCCGAGACGAGGCAGATGATGTTGGCAATGGCGAGCGAGATGGGGTTCTTGGCGGTTCAGATGGTGCTGGAAGAGGAGAGCACCGTGGAGTGGGAGACTGGTATGCTTGATGCTTAATTAAGATAGACGGATCACTTGCAAGTTTAAGCCTCGTAGCTTTGAGTTTGTTAATTTCAGCAGCAATTTTCGTTGCCATAACCTGAAATGTCGTTGGTAGGCACTAGCCATTAGCTACATCATTAGATAACTAGAGGAGCCATTGTGCAAGTTCAGTAAGAATGATTGAGAATGCTTCCTTCTCCTGGTTTTGTCCAAAAGTGGTGTCAATTTGAGATCTAGTAGGGGAACTTTTGAGAGGAGAGGACAGTATCAAGCAGTCAGGTACTTCGATTAGTTTCGCCCGGAAAGTCTTAGGTGTTGTGGGTTTACTTCATCTGTAGCAATCATTGGTTTTCCCAATCATAATAGAAGAGCCTGCATCTCATTGAAGGTGAGACTGAGGTACTGATTCTTTCTGTAAGTTGTGCAATTTTTGGAAGTGGTACTGGACAATTCCCATACTATATTGTGAAAAATGACAACTTCTGTTCGTTGTCAGATTATGAATCATATAGTTGCTAAAAAGGAATCATTTGTTAGAAAATTTTGCCTGTTGAAGGTTTTGGATGATCAGGATTCATACAGACTGCTTGTGTTGTTAATTTGGTGGTGTGTTTTCATTTCCAAGGTATAAGGCAGAGCAAATGCAGAAGGGAAATGTGGCATTTTCTTCTTGATGGTTAATTTGAGAAGAAACTTTCACTTAAGATGCTGCTGGTGACAGGATTGAGGAGGTAGAACTTGAGAGGGTGGCATGGGCAGCGTGAGCAAGGGAGGGTTTTTTTGAGAAGCTGCCATCCGTCTCTGTAGGCGGCGTAGTGGTTCTTCTGTATGTTCTGCCCGAGTTGAGATGCGTAGTAGTTGTGTTTCAAGCCTACACCGGAATATGACTTGTCTTGAAGGCTTAGGAATATGACTTTGTCTTGATTCGAGTATTGATCTAGTCAGATTTGCAATCCGCAAAAAGCAAACCAAAAAACTCTCAATCCATACCACAAATTTCCTTAAACGAACCATAAACCTCACAAAACAAACCACAAATATTTCGAAAAGCACACCAAAAACCTCATAATGCAAACCACAAGCACGGTAAAGCAAACCACAAAAAAGCAAACCAAAAACCTCCTAGTGCAGACCACAAATCCATTAAAACAAACCAGAAACCCCACAAATCAAACCATAAAATTTTCGAAAGCACACCATAAACTTCTTAATGCAAACCAGAAACACAATAAAACAAACTAGAAACCTCCTAATGCATACCACAAATCCCGTAAAACAAACCACAAACCTCACAAAGCAAACCACAATATTTGCGAAAGCACACCAGAAATCTCCTAATGCAAACTACAAACACAGTAAATCAAACCACGAAAAAACAAACCATTAACGTCCTAATGCAGACCACAAATATATTAAAACAAACCAGAAACCCCTCAATGCAAAACACAAAGTTTTTTAAAGCAAACCAGAAACTTCTCAATGCAAACCACAAACACGATAAAGCAAACCAAAAACTTCTCAATGCAAACCACAAACGCGATAAAGCAAACCACAAAAGATATACAAAAATGTGAGAAACCAAACCATAAATCTCACAATGCAGACCATAACATACGGTGGTCGTTGGCCGTTGACCGGTCAACGAAGACCGTTGACCGGTCATCGAAAATCGTTGACCAAACGCTGATGACCGTCAGTGAGTAGATTCCGGCGCCGATAGGCATATTCCGGCCCTGATGACCAGATTCCGACGCCGGTAAGCATATTCAGACGCCGGTGAGCATATTCCGGCGACGGTGGCATATTCCGATGACACAATAGCATATTCCGGCGACGAAAAGCATATTCCGGTGACCGGCGACCATTTTCCGGCGACCGGTGACAGAATTCCGGCGACCAAAATTTTGGGCCGAAAAAACAAAAAAAATATTTTTTTAATTTTTTATTTATTTTATTATTTAAAAATATTTTTCATAATGACAATTATACCCCTGTTTTGATTTTACACTAGGTCAACTCATCTAATAAAAAGTCATCACAACCCTAGCTTCCTATTGCTTGGAGACTAATGTTGTTACAATAACAACACAAGGAGTGTTGTTATAGTATCTAGTCCCGCCTAGGATGGGGATGGGTTTTTGGATTTCGATCTGTTGCTCTTCTATTGTTTCATCAAAGGTGTAGTGCACCTCATCTCTATAGAAGTAGTGTTTTGGTCTGAATTGAAGGCAATAGTGTCATACCGTATTCCTTTTTTTAGGATGTAGTAGTGATTAAACCTTACCGTATTGATTATGTTCTATAGTGATTCTTTGGTCCTTGTATTGGGGATTCACTATTTTTTGGTGTTTTGAGATTAGTAGGGGATTTTGTGATGACGTGATAGTCTTGGTGGAGCAGTTTGCAAGCCTCTCCTACTGATCCATATAAGAGATTCCGCTGGCGTGATTATGTTCTAGTTTAGTAGCGATTATGTTCTAGTTTAGTAGTGATTCTTTGTTCAGTAAACACTACCAAGATACTATCAGTACCACTACTACAGTTGACACCCTTTCGAAAATACTACCAGTATCATTACTACCATTTCGAAAACACTGCCAGTATCCATTATTACATTGACTAAGTACTACCACTACTTAGCTGTAACAAAACTAATAATACTACTACTACCATTTCAAAAACACTACTAGTCCACTACTACAATGACAACCATTTCGAAAGTACTGCCAGTACCACTACTACATTGCCCAAAGTACTATCACAATTTGGTCCTCGAAAAGTACTACTACAAGCCTTATTCAATTGGAAAACACATTAAAACACTAACACATTTGTGCTGAGCACTATCATTCGAATAAAGAAAGTTTCTCATGTACAATAACTACACCTAATTGGGAATAAACCGCTACACCTAGGAAAAATCCTTTCCCTCAATAATGGCTTGAAAGTGCAACTGCATGCCCACCATCTCTCGTTCCTGTCCTGGGAAGTTCAAAATGGGAAAATATAACTGCATGCCCAAACAATCTGCCCCTAAAATCCGCCTCACATAAATAAATTAATTTATGTTTTTAATATTTACTACCATCTGTCCCTAAAATACCCTTATTGTTTTTGTAGCCATTAGATTTGAAATTGGTTTGAATGGTGTAGATCGTAGTTAGAACGGTGCTAACCCCATATGGAGTTAGCACCCTATCTTCTCCCGTATGGAAGACTAATAGCATAAAGATTTTTCTAGGATTCTCCACCTAAATGAGAGCTTAATGGTGCACTTATGAGTCACATAATGGGTGACATTTATAGAGTGCATTATGGGGGGGGGGGGGGGGGGGGGGGGACTTTATGGGTGTATTGATTTGGGGTATTGATGATGGACATTTATGTCTTGTATGTGGAGAGGCCTATATAAGGAGTCATCTCCCTCATTTGTACTCATTCCATCATTTTTTGAGAGTAATACACACTAGAGAGTTCTCCCATCTTCTTTGTCTTTGTCTTGCTTTCTTTGCTTGCTTGTGAGTTTGAGAGAAGGCTGCCTAGCGCTCTAACGGAATCGAGAGCTAGGACCGCACGATCGAGAGTAAGGTCGTGACAAGATGGCCATCCCATTGCCTTCGAGATTCGGAAGCTCAACAGTACGGAGAGGCGATACATGGTCCAAGAGAAGGAGATGACGGTTGTGGTGAATTGCTTGCGCATGTGGAGGCAGTACTTGTTGGGGTTGAAGTTCGTAGTGAAGACGAACAACGTGGCAACGAGCTACTTTCTCACGCAGAAGAAGCTCACCCCTAAGCAAGCGAGGTGGCAAGATGTTCTGGCCGAGTTCAATTTCGTCATTGAGTACAATTCCAGACAAAGCGAACTCCGTTGCAGATGCCGCAAGAGTGCAGCCGCAAGCATCAGCCAACCCGTGTTTCCTTTGAAGGAGCGCATCGTTGAAGGCCTTGGCCATGACCCCTTTGCCAAAATCGTAACGGAGTACATCGAGCAAGGTAAGACTCGAAGGTTTTGGATGAAGGATGGACTCATCATGACCAAGGGAGAGCGTGTGTTCGTGCCAAGATGGGCCAACTTGAGGGAGGAGATCATGAAGGAGTGCCATGATTCCAAGTGGGCGGCCCATCCCGGCATTGAGAGAATGCAAGCACTCATCGAGGAAGCATACTTCTGGCCGCGTATGTGAGACAATGTGGAGATGTATGTGAAAACTTGTCTTGTGTGCCAACAAGACAAGATGGAGCAGAGGAGCCTGTCAGGCTTGCTAGAGCCCTTGCCCACTCCTCAACGACCATGGGAGAGTGTAAGCATGGACTTCATCATCAGACTTCCCAAAGTCGACGGATACGGTTGCATCATGGTTGTGGTAGACAGGTTCTCGAAGTATGGAGTGTTCATTCCTGGGCCAAAAGACATCACGGCAAAGGATGCGGCACGACTATTCTTCAAGAACATGGTCAAGTATTGAGGCATTCCTAGCAACATCGTGTGCGACGTAGATGGGCGCTTCATGGGCAGATTTTGGCGGGAGTTGTTCAAGATCATGGGCTTAAACTTGAACTTCTCGACGACATTTCATCCGCAAAGCGACGGACAGACGGAGCGGGTGAACGCCTTGCTGGAGGTGTACTTGCGACACTATGTGAGTGCAAACCAGCGAGATTGGGTAAGTTGATGGACACGACACAGTTCTCCTGTAACTTGCACCGCAGTGAGTCGACCAACACGAGTCCATTTGAGTTGGCAACAGGGCAGCAGCCGTTGACGCCTACGACGGTGGCAACGGGGTATAGAGGCAACAATCCGACAACATACAAATTCGCTAAAGGCTAGCACGAGAAGATGGAGATGGACAAGTCTTACTTACCCCGCACTAGTAAGAAGATGAAGAAATGAGCGGACAAGAAGAGGCGGCACTTGGAGTTTGAAGAGGGAGACATGGTGATGGTGAAGTTCTACCCTCACCGCTTCAAGCATCTCAAGAACGTGAAGGGACTGCTTTGCCGCTATGAAGGGCCATTCCCCATTGTGAAGAGGATTGGCAAGGTGGCGTATAAGGTGGAGGTGCCATCGCACTTAGAGATCAATCTGGTCTTTCATGTGAGCCAACTCAACGCTTTCCACGAAGACAAGGAGGATGAGCAATGAAGAGAGTCACATCGCGCACCAACACTCATCACCAAGATACCCGACCATAAAGTCGAAGAGATCATGGCGCGTCGTGTCATTCCACAACGTGGTGTACATCCAAGCTTCATGGAATATTTGGTCAAGTGGCGCAACCTTCCGGAGAGTGAAGCAACTTGGGCGAAAGAGCTCAAGCTTTGGAAGAACAAGGACTTGATCGAGACTTTCCATCAAGAGGATGCGACGAGGGCATCGCGAGCATAGGTGGGGGAGGATGTTACATGTGGTAGATGACATGGCGCCAATAAGGTGACAACATGGCGGCTACACATGTGGCGTGTATGGAAGACTAGTAGCATAGAGATGCTCCTAGGATTCTCCACCTAAATGAGAGCTTAATGGTGCACTTATGAGTCACGTAATGGGTGACATTTATAGAGTGCATTATGGGGGAACTTTATGGGTGTATTGATGTGGGGTAGTGATGAGGGGCATTGATGTCTTGTATGTGGAGAGGCCTATATAAGGAGCCATCTCCCTCATTTGTACTCATTCAATCATTTTTTGAGAGTAATACACACTAGAGAGTTCTCTCATCTTCTTTGTTCTTTTGTCTTGCTTTCTTTAATTGCTTGTGAGTTTGAGAGAAGGAAGCCTAGCGCTCTAACGCAATCGAGAGCTAGGGCCGCACGATCGACAGTAAGGTCGTGACATTACCCATAGCAAATTAATTTCCACATTAAATTTTTTTTTGTGAAATTTTGTATCACATTAATTAATTACAAGAGATTTAGTAGATTTATAAGGTCAACTCAACATTAAATATTAAATGAGCTAATTGTGTCATATTGGGTTTGATTTTTAGGCCAAAGTGACCAAACTCTCTCTTCCTGGTCTTGATAACCGATGCCCCTTCTCCCTTGTAACAAGCTAGTTGGTATGAGATATTCCTCTAAATAACTAATGGGTTGTTTACTTGTCATTCTGTTTCTTATGGCTGGCACAACAGAAAACAAATTAAAATGAAAATGAAGTTGTTATTTCCCGAGAAACAAAATTTGAAGACAACTTGTTTAGCTGAGACTTTTGGTGAGTTTTGAAACTGAATTTTGAAAATTAAAACCTTTTTAGTTACTTCACATTGTTTCCTGGTACTTGATTTCCACATTTTTGTTCATTGACGACACGTCTGGAGTTAAGCTGGGCAGTGTTGATTAGGGGGATTTGTCGCTGGTTTATCATCTTTCTAATTCCGATGGGCCTAGCCAGATGTTGGTTGGCGATCTTCTCACTGCATCGAATTAAGGTGAGTGGGTTCTTGATATGAATGACTCTGTAATTGCAAATAAAAAATATTCGTTCTTGGATGGAATATTGACCAAAATAGCCGAGGGAAAACAATTTCAAGCTTGGATACGTTGTGATGATATGGTTAAAGGGTAGCTCAAAACAGCCATGGTCAAAGAAATACGGATCTCAGTGCGATTTGTCGAGACCTAACGACATATTTCGAATGACTTGAAGGACTGGTTTGGCCAAGGGAATGCTTCCCGAGCCTATGAGCTTCGCAGACTGATTAGTCTACTTCAGCAGGAGAAAATACAGTGTCCTCTTTGTACACAAAGCATCGTGCACTGTGGGAAGAATCAACCGCCATTGCCCCTACACGAACTTGCACATGCGGAAATTGCACTTGTGGAGCTTCCACACGTATTCCAGAGCACCAGAAAAGTTCTTGACTCTCTGACTTTTTAATGGGCTTAGATGATGTTTTCTCAACGGTTTGGACGGACGTGCTGGCAATGAAGGCCACTCCGTTATTGGCAAAAGCTTTCAATATTACACTCAATGGGGAACAACAAAGGTTAATTTCATAGAGCCACAAACCGACACAGGAGGATGCTGCCTTTATCGTGCGAAGTGAGAATGATCGAGGAAATCAGCGCGAGAACAAGGAGAAACCTTGATGTTGCTAATGTCAAAAGTTGGGCCATCTTCGAGAGTCCTGTTACCAGCTAAATGGGTATCCACCTCATAATAGGCAAGGTGACCTACAGCGGCCAAGTGACCAGCAACAACTTTGTCGTCCAAAGCCCAGGTTACGCATGAGAAAGAAGATATAAGCCCCGTAGCTGACTTCACTATCAGGCAATTGGAATAACTTAAAGAGTTCTTGGTTATTCGGCCAAATGAGCAGATGATTCAGTGGCTCATTCGGCAGCTATATTTTTTATGAACACCGAGTGGTTGTTAGATTCTGGGTGTAATGAACATATAACCATGAATGAATCTCTATTAGAGAACAAGGTACAAATAGAGAATGGACAACCCGTACGTATACCTACTGGAGCAAACATCCCTGTTAAACATATTGGTAGCATTGAATTGCGCCCTAGCCTTAAGGTAAGCTTCATGTTGCATGTACCGAAGGTTTGGTGCAATCTGGCTTCGGTCAGTCGATTTGCCAAGGATAATCATGTTGTAGTAATTTTTCTCGTTGACTTTTGCGTCATTCACAACTTACGCTCCAAGAGTTTGATTGGTAAGGGTGAGTTACATGATGGACTATACTACATGCGGTTGTTTGGGGTTGGACGGGTTCAAGCTTGTGCAGCAGGGCAGCGCGGTGTGGTGTCAGATGTAATATGGCATGCATGGCTAAGCATCCAAGGCTTTTAAAGGCTCGGCAGTTGAAAAAATAACTTTATGTTTCTATTGTTTCAAAGTCGGCATTGTTTTTTATTTAATTCATATTGATCTCTGGGTGGCTATAAAACTACATCACTTAGTGGCGCCCATTATTTTCTCACCATTGTTGATGCTTACAGTCGTTGTGTTTGGGTCTATTTATTGCA